GTCTCCTACTTTCTCGTTGTCAGTCTTCCTTTGTAGTTGTTGTTGACTCTCGTAGTGCCCTCATGGCTCTCGGGTCCTTTAATCCAGTTCATCCAGTGGTTGTCGAGATCCAGCATTGGCTGTTTCTCGTTCATAGTAAATTTAAGTCGGTTGAGTTTTGTTGGGTTCCCAGCCATATTGGTGTGTCTTTAAATGAGCGTGCGGATGCTGCCGCCAAGGAAGCTGTCCGCTCTTGTCCCATCTCTCGTAAGGGCATTCCGTATTCCGACTTTTACCCGGTTATCCATTCCTCAGTCCTTACCCGTTGGCAGGCTTCTTGGTTGTCTGTTACTGGTAACAAGCTACGTACTCTTAAATGTTGTGTTTCCTCGTGGCAGTCCTCCTTCCACCGTAACCGGCGGTGGGAAACAGCTCTGGCGAGGTTGCGTATTGGCCATACTCGCTTAACCCATGGTCACTTGATGGAGCGCCGCCCTGCTCCTTATTGTCCTAGTTGCATTGTCCCTCTTACGGTCGTGCATGTCCTTCTTGAATGTCCTGACTTCCAGGACGAGCGTATGTCTTGCTTTCCGACCGCCCCTCGCGGTCACCTGTCCCTCGATAGAATTCTTGGTGACTCGGATACTTTTGATATCGTTCGCCTTATGCGTTTTTGTTCTCGTATTGGCATCCTTGGTGATATTTAGCGCCCTCTGATTATTTTGCGTATTTGATGGTGCTACATAGCCTTCCCGGTTTGGTGCCTTCTTTTGATAATTACTTACTTACTTACTTACTCCACCCTCACCAAAATGGCGGCTCCCAACCTCCTACTCTCGCTGTTATCTCACACTATACACTCGTTATATATAAGTATCTACATTTGTGTTCACCATAGCGAACCACTAAGCTGGTATGGTGAGTGCAGTCAATAAAAGGTGGCCACACACAGTCAGAAGACATCGCCACCACCCTCCCTCCCACAGCATTACTCCTCCCTCCATGGCGCACAGTGCCAAATATCACCACAATCCTGCTATTATCAGAACCCTGGTCAGTTTTATCACAGTCAGGGGTCTTCTGTAATAATATCATCGCTACATAATAGCATGAACAAGTATAATATGGTATTTTTAGGCGATGCTGTGGTCACAAGTTGAACAGCAGTGCTGTTAGCTCATGCTGTGCGCGTCAGGCTTGGTAGCCGACTCAATACTGAGGCCAATAACACCCGGGAGTTTGGCCCACGATTTTTTTTAAAATGGCGTCTGTTTACAAGAGCCCTGATGGTGTGGTGAACCCCGTGTATCCGCGGGCCGTTTAAATCTTGCGTAGTACTCCAAAGCATCACATGATGCGATGCGCAATTTACTGCAAGTCGGTCAAAACATCATATGATGCGATGCGCAATTGAAGGGTTAATGAAAAGTTATTGAATTTGTTTGGAAAATTTATTTCCTAAAAAGTCTGGTACATAAATGTATAATTGAGTGAGTCAAATATTTTCAGTGACAGGATTAATTAGTTTACATAAAGAATTAGATTACATAAATACTTACTAGAAAAATATAAATATTTAATTTACTGTATTGTACTGAAGTTGAGGCGGAAATGTGTGCATGTGCCAGGATGTGTAATGCATCCTGAAACTTCTTTGCTTTATTAGAACAAAGTAACACTGGTAAGGAGGAGAAAAAAGAAATTCTTGGAAGCATTTTATTTAACAAAAAAATATAGCGCACAAAATGTCACTCATTATTCAAACTTTCCTCTTACATATTACGTTGCTTTGTGCTTGTATATGCACTCGGGACTAAAAATTGACGTAATTCAAAATGAAATCGGCTCAGGAAAGTGATGTACAGTACTGTACAATTTTGGGTACTCTGGCTTAGGTTGTTAGGTTAGGAGAGGAAACTTTCATGACATTTTGAAACCTTAGGAGAACTTTCTGCCTTCCTAACTTACCAGAGGACCCTTAACTTGTTTCTGAAAAAAAAAAAAATTTTAATTGAATTTTTTTATTTTGAATTACATTGATATTTGGCCGTAGCGTGTACAAGCGAAAAGCAACATAATTTGTAAGAGGACTAATTGTATTAATAGGCCTTTATTTGGGCTGAACATTAGCCTAGCAATACTTTTATGGAAAAGCAAATTCAGTTTGAGAAAGCAACTGTCATATTAAGTTCTATAAATTGTTGCATTCAGTGGAAATAAATAAAGGCAATTTGGGTACAAAAATTGATCCTTATAGAATAGTGGGGTGCACGTTTCTAAAGTCAATGTCGTTGCATGGCTTCAATATCTGCAATTACTTGCTGTTTTGAAATGAGGATAAATTGTGTGTGGCTGAGCTTTGAGTGCACCCAAATATAGGACTGAAATAGCTTGATAATGGAAATTCTTTCATGCACACACTTTGTACACTAAACCACACACAGAGATCACACTAACGTGATGCATCAAATGAACAAATCCACAAGGGCCGGGATGCTCCCAGACGCAGGTTCGAATCCTCGTCACGGCCCTTGTGGATTTGTCCATTTGTACACTAAATTTTATAAATAATGTTCTTGAAATGCCTTACATCTTGTTGCCTGTGTAACTTGGATTGCTCAAACTGCTTAAGAGTTCCTAAAGTTATCTACCATTTTATGTACTTTTTCTTTGCACCTCATCATTCCATTATCTCAAGTGCATTAATAGGCCTTTGACGGGCCTACAGCACAGAGGCCCGTCACTGATAAAAAAAACATGCAGTGGGCCATTTTAATTAGACCATCAAAGGGATGGGATAATTTGGTCTAATTCCATTAATTTTAATGCTATTGTAATCAAAGCTGAAATTTAAAGACTTGCATAGTTCAGATGATGTCAATTCAAAGTCTCAGTCCAGTAATGCCAAAGTAAATAGATCAAATTTTTGCTAGCATAGAATCCTTAACTGGACCGGGTCATTACAGAAAATGCTTCTACAGTACTGTAATGTGCAATCAGGTCCTATACAGCACATGGCAAAGACCAGTTAAATTTGTTAACACTAAATTTGAAAGTTGTTGCTAGTGCTAAAGTGGCCTTGGGACCAGAATTTGTCAGAATCCACATTTGTTCAATAGTGCTTACATTTAAGGTGTAAATTACAGTACAATATCCAAGAGTGGCTATGGTTCAATGCTGACTTTCATGGATACTGTGCCCATTAGGTAGTGGTTTGATTATATAGGTGGTCTGAATATACAGGCAGTTTTGATAATTATGTAATTGCTTGCTTTTTGTATTAACATTTAATGTACCTAATACTTGTGTTTTGCCAGCCACTAAGTTTTTTAAAAAATAAAGTATTAAATCTGACTAGACTTTGCCCAAAATTTGAAAAAAATCTTGATATGTAATTCTTAGTACAGTATGGTAATACAGTAGTGGGAAAGTGTGTAATGCCTCTTCCCCTCCAAGAACAACTAATAAAGTCTTCCCCAGACTTCCTTCAAAGTGTTAATGAGACTTCTGAAGGAAGAACTTAAATATTTATTCAGAATTCTGTATGTTTGGTTATCATAAATGAAGCAGTTGGCATTTGCTTGCACCTGGGAACACACATTTAGAGAATCACTTCCCTTAAAGATAAAAACACCTTGAGAAAGTAATTTAAATAAAGAAATAGCAACTCCAATTGATGATTTCCACAGTTGGAAAAGGGGAAAAAAAGTAAGAAAAATAATATCAGTACTGAATAGCCAGTGGCAAAACATCCACCTTTTCATACCTCTTATTACAATGCTAGTAAACTGCTAAATTTGGCTTATGGATTACCAAACTAACATGTAGAATACTTTCGATTTTTTAACATTAAACATCAACATAATGTGCTCAGATGCAGGGTAATACAATTACTTTGAAGACAGTCTTCAACTACCCGTGAAGCACATGGGAACTGACACAAGTACTGTGCCCTCTATGTGGAGTAGACATGATCACACTACAACAGTTATGCTTCAATGTCGTCGTCGTGTGATGATAAAGCTCTAACCACCCACCACTGTCTTGAGATGTTAGTGTGCCTTGAGTGCCACATCTTCTCCTTCACTTACATTTCCACTGGTGTCAATATCACTGTTTCCAAAAAGCATTGAAGCAAAGCTGGTAGATGTTCTGGGTGTTGTGGTCATCTTGTTTACCAATGGAGTGTTCTGTGAGGCTGCAACAGCAGTATTGGCTGTAGACGATTCGTTGGGCGACGGGATTTCACTAGAAGAGGCCGAGGAACACAGAGGCGTAGGCTTATCAGTTGCCGTCTGCATGGGAGTTTGTTTTGTAGAGGTGGAACTGTGTACAGCAGTATCATTCTGCTGGGTTTGCTTTGGTATATAAGTGAGCATCGTGGCAGCCCAAGTGTGTGCATGATATTCTCCACCTTCACCACCTAGTTCAGCAGGTAGAAGCCTTGCCGGTACTTGAGCATGTAACGTCGCCAGGTTGTTGCCATGAAAGTGTATCTGGAAAATAGAGAAAATATGAAACTTTCTGGTCATAACTGGCTATATTGTGCTAGAACTTGGTAAATATCTAAAATTAAAGACCGAAGAATTCAAAGATTATATTTTGGCTGAACAAAACTTTGGCCTTCAATTTTACATCATTTTATCCTTTCCATTACTAATAAATATTTAAAATCAAAATACATTCTGAAGGTAAAATAATGAGTAATTATATAATTATATTTTAATTGTATTTTTAATTATAATTGTAATTACTGCATATTTAATTGAGCATGGCATATGCGAGATCAACATTAACCTATTACACAATACAACAGTTTTGAGACTTGGCCAATACATGTTCAATTAACCAAATTAACAAGCCCCGACATTAGTAATGAGCGCCTTGCAACTTGTTTCGAGATAAACAACTTTGGCACAAATGGTGTTCTTCGAGTCATTGCAACAGTTTGTAGGAATGACAGCCACTACATTTGAAAGAAAAAGCAAGCGTGGTTGGCAACACCTCAAACCTCTCACTGGTATTAAATAAACACACAAATTAAACTAAGGTAACTATTATGATCATTTAAGTTAAAAAGCTCGACAATAGGTAATAACACTGAACAAGAATTAAGTTGAATAGTGCCTGTTCTACAAAGTAATGTATCCAGAAAGCTTTTTAACCCCCCCTGCCATATCAAGTAAATCTTTTTCAGTCTTACTAAGATGCTATATATAATTTGATTGTTTTCATATAACTCGATATCAAAACTGATATCAGGTGCTTCATAGTCTTCCTGGCTTGGAGCCGCCTTTTGTGTGTTCCTTCATATCTGATGCATATATTTATATAGGAAGGATAACTTTGGCGACTTCCACTGCACATAAAACCATGTGACTGTATGACAAGCATAAATGGGTCCATAAGATATACAGTATAGCTAAATGGGCTACTATACAATCAAAGTACAGGTATTTATTAAGAGAAATCTAACAGTTGGTGAACTAACCCGAGAGCGAAGTTTTTCCTTCAGAAAAGGTCGAGCGAGACCAAGTGCTGCGTCCACATACCACGGTTGGTTGACCAGATGCATAGCACCTAGACGCAATGGAAAGGCATCCTGTAAAAGACATTATTGTAATAAAAGCCTAATACAGTATGATTAATTTTAGCTACAATATCACAAACAACAGGAGTTAAAAGCCTATAATTTTTGATCCCAAATAAAATGTAGATGAAAACACTGTATAGAAGTGCCAAGAAGTATATATATGGTATGAATTGTAGTATGGACAGACAGTGATTTGTGTCATGTAACAGAGGTATGTGCACTTCTACAAGGTCTGGTGCACAAGATTGGAGCGATCAGGCCTTGTAGAATTGTCTTCTGGAGCAAACTCTCACATTAATGTAGTCTCCTGTTTGTAAACACTCAAGTGAAGCACTTCCAAGAACAAGTGTGGGGAATAGGATCAATCATTAAATAAAATATAATTTATATATACAGTATTATACTTTTACTATGAATATGAAATCACGGATTTTGGTGATTAAAATGGTACTGTCTTACAAAGTTACTAGCACTCGTATCACTATAGGCAAGTCTGAAGTCAACACACAATTGCCAGTGATTTTTATGTTACAAGGTGAAAATCAATTTTGAACAGTAAATAAAAAGTGAGGTACAGTATATACTGTATTTTTTTTTAATCAATGCAACAAAAATATGGCATTAATTACATTCAATGCTCAAATTGTGGGAGTTCCCCCCTTTCCTCTCAACTTTCTCTGCTTAGTCCCAATGATGTCTAGGCAGACACTGGCTCCTTTTCAGGAAGAGAAAAGTAGCAACAGAAACAGTGGAAAAAGATATTCTGCCCATAGAAGAAGATAGCATGAATCCTGTGAAAAGAGTAGCAGTGCAATGTGCTAAATGCGCAGCTAAGTGCTGCGAGGCCAAGTAATAAGAGGCAAGAAGTTAGCATACAAATCGATTGTGAAAAGCTCTGGCCCCAGATAATAATCATGGACAAAAGTCAAACAAAAAAAGACCACCACAGAAAGATTATTCCATCATTTGGCTGTCATTGACAACTACCATAGAAACCAGGACATCCAGTCACACACCAGGTATTATAGATGGCCTAGAGGGGGAACCTGACCCCCCCCCCCCCTCACACACACACAATACAAAAGAGCGCCAGGGAAAGGGTCCCACAAGGTGGACACCAGCAAGGAACCACCAAGAGGGAGCACACCCACCCAAGGCCGGGCCCACCTGATGCAACACGGTCAAGCACAACCTGTGGTAAACAAGAAATGGTATAAAAATGCTTTAATGTTACCAAATGTACACAATATATCCATGATCTTCACCAAGACTCAAGGAACACAAGGGTACAATACACGAACAGGGTAAAAACTGGTGGAGAATATTGCCAAGGGGGCAATATCCTGGCCTGGTCGATGAGGGGCAGTATATTGCCGAGGGGCAGTATATTGCCGAGGGGCAATAAATTGCCTAGTGGCAATATTGAGGCCTGGTCGACGGCCGGGTCGCGGGGACTCTAAGCCCCAAAAACACCTGAAGGTAACTTCAAAGTAAGGGACTACCTGCAAGATCACAGATGACTGCAACACCAGTCATTTACTGAATCCAGGAACAAAATGACAAATGTACAGTATGGTGTATTTAAACAGATATAAACAGTGTTCACCATTAGCATGAGCCCACTTTATAGTCATCCAGGTTTAAGGATAATTGCACATTTCTTAGCTGAATAAGTTGGTTTCTGCCAGACCAAAAAATGTGAGGTGGGCAGAACCTGTACACCATAGTGGTATGTAGAGGTTGAGACTGACACACTAACAATTAGCAGAGCTTGCCTGGGCAGTCTTCACCTCAACATGACCATACAGCAGATTGATGAAGAAAAATACCCTAGGAGTTATGACATGTCAGTCGGTGAAAGTTGTTCACCATATTGTAGCCATGATAAAAAAATCCAAACCATGGGAATAGCCAAATGAACCTTTGACTTCAAGGATTATTCCAGAACAAAGTCGACTCTCATACCAGGAACGGTTAAGGGCATCAATACCATCATCACTACAAACCAACATGACAGCTGATCACATAGACACCTTTAAAACAAAGAAGTAGTTGGGGGATATTAATCTAGACCACTTCTTTAAAAGGTCCAATGTAACTCGTAGAAGGAGCAACAGCTTGAAGCTCAACAAGCCACAATGTAACTCATACAAGGGCCAAGAGCTTGAAGCTCAACAAGCCACAATGTAACTCATACAAGGGGCCAAGAGCTTGAAGCTCAACAAGCCACAACAGACACATTCACTATGTTAGGGTCACTAGGCAGGACCAGGAGTATATCAATAGGTAATGTCAGAGGGTGGAAGAGAGACTGTAGTGAACAAATTATTTATGAAGTTGGAAGAACAAATCTGAAAAAAGTTAAATTTAAATGTGGAAACTGATAATGACATATCTTTTGGCATCAGTTTTGCAGGGTATTAACTAAGCCCAGTACTGTAGTTATCAAATACAATGCATTAAAGCCTTTCCGATACCATTAGATTATTATATTACATGCTAAATTTGTTTTAACCATATACATACCTGAAGTCCATCAAGCATGAGTCTGAGGAGTTTTGGTGTTAAGCTTGTAGTGAGGCGAGCTGGGAAATTTGACCAATCAAGAATAGCTACTACACCCGCTGCCTGAACTGCTTCATCTTCCACTAGACGTTCCAGTGTTAGCAAAACAGCTTGATATACAGTGCGTACATCATACCTAAGCAGAGAAAAACATTTTTACATCTAAATCTAGATCTTGTCTAAAAACAAAAAAAAATGTATAAAGTTGCAATTATCAATCACTTTTCAAGTAAAATTGCTTTTATTTAAAATACACCCAGAATTTTTGTGGAAGCAAGCTGAGATAGATTTCAGAGCATTGCTCTGTAAACACGTAAAATCGTTTTGGAATTAACCCTTTGCGAAATGAATTGCAAATGGGCTACACCAAGGATTAAATTTATTAAATGTGTTTAATAAAAGTTATAAAATTTTAGATTATACAACACAGGCAAACTATTCCACAAGGGCAAACACATTGTGGAATTTAAGAAAGCACTGAAATGTAGTGAAGGTCTTTACTGAAAAACGAAGCCACTTCCACATACAAATTTAAAAGCAAATACAGTATAACAGCACTAGATGAAGGTGTAAGGGAAACATCAGGTGCCTGTTTTTTAAGTCTACTTATTTATTTATTTATTTATTTATTTATTTATTTACATATACAAGAGTTCTTACATTCTTGTACACCACTAGCACACATGGCATTTCATGCAAGTCCTTAATCCTAATATTCCCCGGGATATTACCTGCCAAATTATTTAACAACCAAGTACCCAATTTAGGCTACCAGTTAATGATTTGCGTCCAGTAAATCCTCCCTGGCTAGGATACAAACCCAGGACAAAGCACTCACAAAACGCCAGGCGAACATCTTACTACTATGCCACAGAGACTGCCCTTTAATTATTAGAATAACTATTTATTAGGAAGTGTCTAAGGTGATAATGTACCACAACTTGTGTTTGCTGAAGACAGTACAGAATGGTTCAAATGTTTAAAAATAGCTCCCATCAGGAGATGGCCACAGCAGAAGTTTCTCCAGAAGACTTACCACACAAACCTTTCATTATTTCATATTCTTATCTCTTCCTTCATCCTTTCTTTTATATACTGTTCCACTCTTCCTTTCAAAAATACCAGGCATCATCCTTTACCATATGGTCCTTATATTTCATCCTTTTAAGTTGAATGATACTTAAGCATTATGCTTCTTGTTGAATGATACTTAAGCATTCTACAAACACATCAAAATCACCTCTGTATTTGGCTTCACCCATTGCAAACATTTAATAACCTTGCCCTTTTAACTTGCCACATTCCTCATACTTTCTTATTGTTGTACTAAATCCACATACATACACTAGCTAATTTTCTTAAACTAATTTCCACTGCTTGTATTACCGAGTTCTACCTTTCCATACCAAACCTTCACTTTCATATGTCAGTGCAGACTGAGTAATATGCAATCTTTGTCCTTTCTCAACTCTCATACATTCCTTCATTATAAACATTCCCCTGACCCCCTCTCCTACCACACTTCAACTCTTCATTCTCTCTAGTTTCACCTTTCATACACTTTTTTTTCTAACACTGCCCCCAAATATTTCCTCTTTCAGTATCTTTTACCCAATTTCACCCTACAGTTCAAATCACCGAGATTTAAAGATTCAGTCAACCATTGTAGATTTTGTACATAAATTTACAGAACTTTATATTACAAGTACTCAAGTTGTTATTTCATGTACATTTTTTACAGACATCAGTTTTGACAAACTGATCTTCAGCATAATCATACTAATATGCTATATTTCTAGTCACTCGCAGCGACTAGTCCCCGTAGCGTAGTGGTAAGGCACTCGCCTGGCAGTTCGTGAGTGCTTTGGCCTGGGTTCATATCCTGGCCGAGGAGGATTTACTGGGCACCAATCCTTAACTGTAGCCTCTGTTACCCAACAGTAAAATGGGTACTAGATTGTTAAATGATTTGGTAGGTCGTATTACGGGGAATATTAGGATTAAGGACCTGCCCGAAACACTGTGTGCTAGTGACTGTACGAGAATGTAAGACAACTCGACTAAAGAAGAAGGCTGTACAAGAATGAGTGTGAGTGTGAGTGTGAGTGTGTGTGTGTGTGTGTGTGTGTGTGTGTGTGTAATTACCTAAGTGTAATTACCTAAGTGTAGTTACAGGATGAGAGCTACGCTCGTGGTGTCCCGTCTTCCCAGCACTCTTTGTCATATAACGCTTTGAAACTACTGACGGTCTTGGCCTCCACCACCTTCTCACTTAACTTGTTCCAACCGTCTACCACTCTATTTGCGAAGGTGAATTTTCTTATATTTCTTCGGCATCTGTGTTTAGCTAGTTTAAATCTATGACCTCTTGTTCTTGAAGTTCCAGGTCTCAGGAAGTCTTCCCTGTCGATTTTGTCAATTCCTGTTACTATTTTGTATGTAGTGATCATATCCCCTCTTTTTCTTCTGTCTTCTAGTTTTGGCATATTTAATGCTTCTAACCTCTCCTCGTAGCTCTTGCCCTTCAGTTCTGGGAGCCACTTAGTAGCATGTCTTTGCACCTTTTCCAGTTTGTTGATGTGCTTCTTAAGATATGGGCACCACACAACAGCTGCATATTCTAGCTTTGGCCTAACAAAAGTCATGAACAATTTCTTTAGTATATCGCCATCCATGTATTTAAATGCAATTCTGAAGTTAGAAAGCATAGCATAGGCTCCTTGCACAATATTCTTTATGTGGTCCTCAGGTGATAGTTTTCTATCTAGAACCACTCCTAGATCTCTTTCTTTATCAGAATTCTTTAAAGATTTCTCACATAATATATAGGTTGTGTGGGGTCTATGTTCTCCTATTCCACATTCCATAACATGACATTTATTAACATTAAATTCCATTTGCCAAGTGGTGCTCCATATACTTATTTTGTCCAGGTCTTCTTGAAGGGCATGACAGTCATCTAAATTTCTTATCCTTCCTATTATCTTAGCATCATCAGCAAACATGTTCATATAATTCTGTATACCAACTGGTAGATCATTTATGTACACAATAAACATCACTGGTGCAAGAACTGAACCCTGTGGTACTCCACTTGTGACATTTCTCCATTCTGATACATTGCCTCTGATTACTGCCCTCATTTTTCTATCAGTCAGAAAATTTTTCATCCATGATAGAAGCTTACCTGTCACCCCTCCAATATTTTCCAGTTTCCAGAACAACCTCTTATGTGGAACTCTGTCGAAAGCCTTTTTTAGGTCCAGATAGATGCAGTCAACCCAACCATCTCTTTCCTGTAATATCTCTGTGGCTCGATCATAGAAACTGAGTAAATTCGATACACAGGATCTTCCAGATCGAAAACCATACTGTCTGTCTGATATTATATCATTTCTCTCTAGGTGTTCTACCCATTTAGTTTTGATTAGTTTTTCCAATACTTTCACTATTACACTTGTCAATGATACAGGTCTATAATTGAGGGGGTCTTCCCTGCTGCCACTTTTGTAGATTGGAACTATGTTAGCCTGTTTCCACCCGTCTGCTACGATTCCTGTACACAGGGATGCCTGAAAGATCAGGTGAAATGGAATGCTGAGCTCAGATGCACATTCTCTCAGAACCCATGGTGAAACGCCATCTGGGCCAGCTGCTTTGTTCTTACCGAGCTCCTTGAGCATTTTTTCCACTTCGTCTCTAGACACCTCTATGTGTTCTATGTTGTTCTCTGGAATTCTTATTGTATCTGGTTCCCTAAAGATTTCATTTTGTACAAACACACTTTGGAACTTTTCGTTTAGTGTTTCACACATTTCCTTTTCATCTTCCGTGAATCTATTTCCCATTTTCAACCTCTGAATATTATCCTTTACCTGCAATTTGTTGTTTATGAATTTATAGAATAGACCTGATTCTGTTTTACATTTGTCCGCAATCCCTTTTTCAAAATTTCTTTCTGCCTCTCTCCTCACTGCCGTGTAGTTGTTTCTCGCATCTTTGTATCGCTGGTATGTTTGGGGGTTCGGCCTCTTCCTGTATTGATTCCATTTTTGTGTCTTTCGGTCTCTAGCCCTCTCGCAATTTCTATTGAACCAATCCTGTTTCCTAGTTCTGCATCTCTGTTTTGGTATAAATTTTTTTGTGCCTTTATCATATATTTCACAAAACTTGCCATACATCTCATTCACTTCTTTGCCTAGCATCAAGTCTGTCCAATTATACTCACTAAAAAAATTTCTAAGGTCACCATAATGTCCTCTCCTGAAGTCTGGTTTTTCAACTGCTTCAACCTCCTTATTTTCTTCCAGCTTATAACGCATTGCATACTTTATTCCCAAAAAGACATGGTCACTTTTACCCAAGGGAGGAAGGTACTGAATGTCAAATATCTCTTCCTCCTTCCTGGTAAATATCAAATCTAGCATGGAGGGAACGTCCCCTTCCCTCATCCTCGTAGCTTGTTTAACATGTTGATACAAGAATGTTTCCAGGATGAGGTCTACAAATTTACAGGTCCAAAAATCTTCTGTTTTAGCTTCATATGCTTCCCAGTCTATGGATTTCAAGTTGAAGTCACCGACTATCAACAGTCGTGATCTATCGTTATCCGCTCTCGCTATAATCTCTCTCATTATTGTTATAAGACCTTCACGTTTACTATCTAGCTCCTCCTTTGACCATGTGCTGCTTGGCGGTGGACTATATGCATTTATCATCATTAGTTTATCATCCTCATAGCAGATCTCTAGTGCTATTATGTCAACTTCTTGTGGATTGGCAGTCATTATTTCCTTCACCTTTAGGTGTTCTTTTACCAGCACAGCAACGCCACCGCCTTTCCTAATTTTTCTGTCCCGTCTCCAAATTGAGTAGCCCCTTGGGAATATGACCTCATTTAAAATTACATCTTCAAGTTTTGTCTCCGTGAGTGCAACAATGTCTGGTGTCTGCAGCTGTATTACATCACTTAACTCCAGTATCTTCGATCTCACTCCATCTATGTTGGTGTATGCAATCTTCAGGAACTTGTTCCCCCTCTCCTTATTCTTCACTCCCCCTCTCTCTATTGATTTTGTTGGTTTGCCTTTATGTACCACTTTACTGGTTTGCCTACCCCTATCACTTTGTAGAAAAAAGAATTTATTTCTTCTTCATTCCTGCTCTCATTTAAATGTTTTGCCTCGGCGAGGTTCAGTTTCAGCTTCTCTCTATCTTCTTTTGAAAGATCTCGTCTTAACGACCACCCTTTCCCATCCTCATCCCTTTGCAATTTTCTAGCATTCCTTAGTACTTCTTCCATCTGTTTGGCACCGTTTAGGGTGATCCTCAAAGGTCGATCTTTCCCTTTTACGTACCTGCCTATTCTCCTGTAGTCGCACACATTCTCTGTTTGTAAGACCTTCCACGAGGCCAACAATTTTATCTACTACTTTAGCTTCTTCTACAGCTCTTTCTGACCTAGATGTTATCGCCTTTTCTTTGCAGCCAAAAATGATCAGGGACTTACTCCGATCAACTGTGTTTTGCACCAACTTCGGGTTAGATGCCAATTCTTTCCTCACTTCTAGCCTAATGTTTGTTTTATCTTGGTTGCTGCAGTGTTTGACTTCCTTTACTGCTTCTTCTATTTTTTCCTTCTCCTTGGCCACTTGTGCATAAGTGAGTTGCATATCTTTCTTGCACTGTTCTATTCCCTGTGTAACTTCCTCCATCTGTGCTGACAAAAGCTGTTTCTCCTGTTGAATTTCCTTGCCTAACCTATTGTAGTCATTTATGTTTAAATTTACTTTAACTTCTTCCAAAGCTATTTTTAAGAGTTTATTTTCTTCTTCCATGGCTTTGCAATTTGTTTCCAATTGATTCTTATCCTTGCGCAAGTCTTTCACTAAACCCTCAAGACATAAAACTTTGCTATTCAAATGGTCATTACTTTCTTTCAATTTACTAATTATTTCTACATGAGAGTTCACTATAGTATCTAAATTTACCAACTTGTTATGTAGACTACTAATATCAATGCTTTCTTCATTGAATCCCTCAAAATCAAGCTCTGTTTTGTTTTTCCCCTTGCCGGTGGCCATCTTGAATGTTCTTCTCTGCACTGTAAACACTAGGGCGACTTTTTCTCATCCGATTTTTCACTTCCCTTAGCACTTTCCTGTTATCTCACCTATTTTTCAAGAGCACTATACCTTTATGTTCTCTGGGACACCACTCACTACCATCAACCTGTACTACAATACTTAGGATTGTTGAAATATGCTGGAGCTCCTCTGCTGCAAGTGTTGACCCTAGGGGTGTCACCTTTTGAATTCCAATGAGTGTGTGTGTGTGTGATATATATATATATATATATATATATATATATATATATATATATATATATATATATATATATATATATATATATATAATAATAATAATAATAATAATAAGAAAAATGAAGTGTGTAGAAACAGTTCAGGAAAACAATGATTATAATTTTTAGTAAACAGGTATGATTCCACTTACCTAGGTTCTTTTTGTTAATAAAAAGGCTTCAATAGATGTTTGCATTAATTTGTTACAAAAGCAAATCTCAAGGAGGTTTGTGAGCTACTGTAATAATGTCATGTCTAGATTTTGTGATTGCATAAACAAAACTTGGTACTGTATTAGATTTTTCCTTACCTGGAGTGGTCCCAGTTGCTAGCCAAGAGAACTATAACAGGTCTACCACATGGGTCTCTCTCTGCCAGCACCCCTGGTAAGCCATCCAATAATGCTGCCTGAATTCCTGTCTCGCTGTCGCCAGATTCTCCGCCACCCGCGACATTTAATCCACGGAATAATTCACGGTGGCGCTGTCTGTACTCGAAGTAGTGACAAAGGAGAATGAAAGCATCTCCCACTCTGAATTTCTTTGCTCTAAGGAAACGCAGCAAGAAGGGATGATCAGTCCGAAGGAATGCTGAGTGGGAGAAAAAAAAAAGACAATGTAATATCTTTCTTACAAAGTAAAACTTTAAAATTAACTATCCATTTATTATAACAAGAGGTTTTTTGTTAATGTAAATTATTTAGGCAAATGTGAGCTTGTAGCATTTCAGTAGCCTGGAATGATCTATATTATATTTAAGCTTAATTCTGCGATAAATGAAATTCTAAAAATAAAATGGCTGGTCCTTAGAATAAATAACACACACAAAAGTCATCCACTGTATTCAAATTTAGTTTCTAGTAAATAAAGTAAAATGGGTAAAAACATTAAATATGTCAATTATTAAAATGCCACTGATACATAAACTTCAATATTAATAATGGTCCAGAATGGACAGAAGTGTCGTCGGGTCTTCATTCTCAGATGTGGGCGCTAAGTGTCAATTCTTCACCCACTTCATTATGACTCATCATCTTCAATACTGCTATCACATGACAAGAGCAGTTTTGAAAATATACAAAGCCGCCCATTAAGTAAACGACTACTCTAATATGCAGCGTTACATTACTATACATAACAATTGGGCAATAATACAAACTACAGTAGTTGGTAAGTTGGTAAACTACAGTAGTTATGCCCGAAACGCTTTGCGTAATAGTGGCTTTAGGCATTGTATGTACTAGCTATACCTATAAGTTAAACAATCCTTGTAAATATTTATTGTATGTATGTACCTTACCTAAATAAAATTGTATTGTATATAATTGTATTGTATGTTACTATCAATTATGTAGTAGTGACCAAGACTCTGGCCACTGATTAAGACTCACAACTGGAGATCCTGGGTTCGATCCTGGATAGGACATAAATACTAGAGTTAGGAAAGTTTCTCTTCACCTAATGCTCTGTTCACCAAGTAATAATTAGGTACTCGGGAGTTAGAATCCTCATCAAGGCTCTTGTGGATTTGTTCATTTGATGCATCACGCTATTGTGATTTCTGTGTCTTTAGTCTAACATTTATTGTTAACCCAAGAACTGATATGCTCGCATTTGTAGTTGATATGCAATCTTAACCGTGATTCAGCTTTGGGCATTAAGTCACTAGTCCTATTTTTAAAGAGTTTGGCAAGTTTTGTTATAGTTTAACGATCTTGATTCTAAACATGTGTAAATACAGTAGACTGATACGCGGGACCAAAGAGCCGAAGCTCAACCACCGCAAGCACAACTATGTGAGTACAGTACTGTGGAATATGAATTATTTTGTTCGATAATAAGATTCCCGATCTTGAAATGCATCCTGTTTTTTTTTTAAGGATACATCTGCAATTTTCTGCTGCTACACTATGAAGAATGTTTACCGTAAGATTTTTAACAAAAACGTATAAAAAACTTAACATACTGACTTAGAACTGTGTAGACGAGCTTATTGATTTGTTGAAGTAGATTGTGTGGATAGCTATATAGTTTTCTGATGTAGACCAAGGTAGCAAACCTTTGTCAATATGGGAAAGGTTGTGCAGTAAAAAACCCATCTTCCCGTTTAGATGGTATTTTGTGTAACTAAGCGGACTATTATTGTTAATTTGGCCTTAGTTGAATATGCAATTTACCTATTGTTATAAGGAATATAAAGTGCATAAACTATGTATTTGGCGTGCTATTATCGCAGGATATACCTAATGGAATTCTACTCACTGGATGAGTGTCGCTAATGAAACTTGCCCCAAGGGGCAAGATTTGAATTAAAAATTTAATTATTTTACCAATAAAGCCTCAAGTTTGGTAAAGCTCTTGTGATTAAATAAGTTGGGAGTTTTATTTAGGCTGTAGAGTTTCAAATTAAAATTAAATACATACCGATATATACCCCTGTCCAAACATTAAATGTCTTTAGTAGTCTTTGCCAAATTAGTTTGTCATTAAACCTAAACTACAGTTTTAAATATATATATTAATAAACAAAATGGACAACTTAGGGACAAACCACCAAGGAAGCCTAACGAAGGAAGAACTTTTTTGGCCTACAAACTTACGGGCCAAGTTAGTGGGTAATGAACTTACCCACGTCTGGTCTGGTGGGGAGGAGAGCATGTAGCTGTTGTATAGCGTGTGTCTTGTCTGGCAGAGGAGCCACGTCGTCTCTGTTAGTCTCAAGACCCAGCTCCTCACAGGTGTAAGGAGAGGTCACATGTCCGCCCCAGGGACCGTTCAGGTCACAGACATCCATCTCCGGGGGCGCTGGCTTAAGCGCTCCCCTAAGAGCAGCCCGCAACAGCTTGCTTGATTGGTTCTACACCCCACAATGTTCAAGACTTGTCCAAGGTTGGTTTCCTCAAACTGTTCTCGAAATTATCTTACGCATTCATAAGAGCCGGAGAAAAATGAGCTTTCGGGATCCTGAAGTCATACAGCCTTCTCCAAATTTGATTTTGTAACTGAAAATAGAAAGAATGTTAATGTAGTAATACATATACAGGTGCACTATTGTTATAGCCTAATGTATACAAGTTTTATTTGAAAACCAGGAAGGGAACTATCAGGAGAAAGCACCAAGCCATTACGACTATATGACACAAGGAAGGGATAAAGATTTAGGATGGGACAGATTATCCCAATAATATACTCGCTCCAAATATAGTGTTAATATTCCTGTCAACCTTTGGAGATGAATGAGGTGAGGCGTTGCCTGGGCAACACGGTGAGGTGTTGCCAAGCAATATAAGCAGCGGTGTAGCGAACATTGGCCAGTCTACTTTCAAGTGTGGTCTAGAGCAGACACTTGCGAGATACTGTACCGACGCTCAGTGCGCTCAACTCACACCAAAGTATCACCGGTGTACTTCTGTATATTCGACCAAATATATATATAGTATCTTAGTGTCTGTGTTTATTTGTCACCATACTTTACGTAACAATAGAACCGTTACATAACTAACTTTCTGACCACCTGTGCACAGACGTCTCCAAAGGAGGAACCACCAGAAAAAGCCATAAAGCCCTCATACAAAGTAAGTAAAATGTATGGTATCAATGACAGCCAGTCCAAAGGCTGTTGGGCAATGCTTCTCTCAGTCTGATAGAAGTGGTGATCGGCTCGCGAACTCTTGACAGCGCCTGCGACTGGTGGGTGCTTCACTCTGGACCTCATGTTCCACCGGTGTCACAATTCCCTAGAAAAGCGCCTGGGGGACCAGAGGATCATTATGGCTATCTGATGGAGCAGAACCTCCTGATCGATGGGTGTGTGTGTCGACGACGTCGGTGTAGGCTTCTCTGGGGAGAGGCAGGGGGGTGATAAGTGCCGGGCTCCGGCAAAGATTGAGCGTCCATGTCTGTATCCGTGGACGAATTTTCGTCCATGTCGAGGCAACCCAGGAGGAAAAATCTATTAGCAGCCTTATTGTATGAGGCATGTGGCTAGGACAGGCAAGAGCGACTGCTAGATCCTACTTGTGAAGAGGCCCGACCAGGGGAAACCTGAGGCAAGAAGGTACGATAGGCTGGCTGAGGGCGCGCAACCTCTGGAACATCTCATGTCGAGGGGTCTCTGCTGTTTTATGATCGATGTCCAACTGGAGGGCCTCAAGATATACAGGGTAACTCATGGTGGTAACCTTGTGATGGTCATGGCATAAAAGGCAGCGAGGTGCAGCAGAGCACCCACCATTATGTCTGTCTGTATGGCCTGTTTTGCCGTAGTTTGCACAGTGTGCTGCATTACAGCAGGTGAGGCGACTGTGGCCCAATAGATGACAAGCGTAACATCGTAACACTTGAAAGTTGTAGGGCTGGACCTGATATGAGGTCCTGTTTAGTGCCACCCGGTCCGGGAGGGGCCCATCGAACTTTACACGGACCATAGATGTCGGCCCTGCTGCTCCGCGAATCCTGGTAACTTCCAATAATCCTGCTGATGCACCCCCTAACACCTATGGAGCGGCCTAGATGTCATCCACATCAACACACTGGTCAACTGGGCCAATCTTCCCAATACCGGGCCCGAGACTACTACTCCTGAGACAATACCTGTCGGCACCTGACAGGCAAGTCCCCCAACTTAATAATGTCGGATACACGGGTGTGAGATAGAGCCTCCTTTCTGATGTGTAGCTTCAGTGCTGCACCCCTACCCAGGGTATGCATGGTCTCAGGCAGGCAATATTGCCACAATACCGAATCATCAATTGCTGCACTTATGGTACAAGGATTCGCAAAGATGCACTGACCTGTTGCTGACTGGATTAGGACAACCACAAACGAGGAATGAGGTACCACAAGAGGAGGGTTTTCTGAAGACCAAGACATCCTCTTAGCATCTCGCTCTGGGGTAGCATCAGTCGACTCATTTTCCAACAGACGTTTGCCTTTCTGGGACTTGCTGTCAACGTCCATATGACGTCCTCGCTCAGGGAGACGTCCATTGGGAGGCTCCGGCCTGCCCCGGTGCTGGAAACCCCTGGGTAACAATTCACTGGGTAACTGCAGTGAGCACACACTGGCCCAAAGAAGCCAGCCGAGTTCAAAGATGAACTACGGATGAGGTGTGGAAAGAATGCCCAGCCAGGAGTGTTCAATCCGCGCGCCAAGATGGCCAACCCAGATACAAGGTGATCGAGATTACCTTGTATGTGGTGATACAAGGTGTTACGAGATCTATTGCGGAAGGGATTATGTCACTAATACCAAGGAACAGCCAGCATTATCTAAACAATAGAGGGAGAGGTATGTGAGTTACAGTCTTGGTCGACCCCATGTGCCGCTATTTAAGAAATGCCATCTATAGCAGCCCTTTGCGATTTCTATGAAGTTTAAAATTAAATTAGGATAAATTTTCTGTTTAAGCCTACTCCCGCCATTTACCCGCGCACGTTCATGGTTTACTTGAAATTTATGAACCTGAATTAATTCTGGTTACAGCATTATATTTTCTGAAACAAAAGAGAAGAGATGAGAGAGGGTAGACTGGGAGGGAGCGGAGAGGGAAGGGGGGGGGGGGACCAAGACCCGGGCACCGCCGGGTTATATTTATATCTCACATCTAGTGAGATATAAACATAACCTCTCACCAACCTTATGTTACTAAACTTCTCTATACAAATATTTACGCAACTTCAGCAGCTACATCGCCATTTTTAAGCAAAATAAAATCCCTGCAACTGGAGCAAATTTGTGGGTAAAGTTATCATGATAGGTTATCGATCAGGGGCGGTCGATTAGGGTTATTGATCAGTGTAGGTGGCCACGGTGAAGGTGGCCACGGTGTAGGTGGCCACGGTGGAGGTGGCCACGGTGGAGGTGGCCACGGTGGAGGTGGCCACGGTGGAGGTGGCCACGGTGGAGGTGGCCACGGTGGAGGTGGCCACGGTGGAGGTGGCCACGGTGGAGGTGGCCACGGTGAAGGTGGCCACGGTGAAGGTGGCCACGGTGGAGGTGGCCACGGTGGAGGTGGCCACGGTGGAGGTGGCCACGGTGGAGGTGGCCACGGTGTAGGTGGCCACGGTGAAGGTGGCCACGGTGTAGGTGGCCAGGGCCGGGCCACGGTGTAGGTGGCCAGGGCCGGGCCACGGTGTAGGTGGCCAGGGCCGGGCCACGGTGTACCACCATCCATCACTACTGTTTACCCAACAAGGCGTGTGTGGGGCTCCTGGGAAAACATCAAGAAAGGTTTCGCTCCCAAACTGGCACAGTTGGCGGGGTTACCCGTGTCCTTGTGTGTGCGTGTGTGTGCGTGTGCGTGTGCGTGTGCGTGTGTGTGTGTGTGTGTGTGTGTGTGTGTGTGTGTGTGTGTGTGTGTGTACTCACCTAGTTGTGTTTGCGGGGGTTGAGCTCTGGCTCTTTGGTCCCGCCTCTCAACCGTCAATCAACAGGTGTACAGATTCCTGAGCCTATCGGGCTCTGTCATATCTACACTTGAAACTGTGTATGGAGTCAGCCTCCACCACATCACTTCCTAATGCATTCCATTTGTCAACCACTCTGACACTAAAAAAGTTCTTTCTAATATCTCTGTGGCTCATTTGGGCACTCAGTTTCCACCTGTGTCCCCTTGTGCGTGTTCCCCTTGTGTTAAATAGACTGTCTTTATCTACCCTATCAATCCCCTTCAGAATCTTGAATGTGGTGATCATGTCCCCCCTAACTCTTCTGTCTTCCAGCGAAGTGAGGTTTAATTCCCGTAGTCTCTCCTCGTAGCTCATACCTCTCAGCTCGGGTACTAGTCTGGTGGCAAACCTTTGAACCTTTTCCAGTTTAGTCTTATCCTTGACTAGATATGGACTCCATGCTGGGGCTGCATACTCCAGGATTGGCCTGACATATGTGGTATACAAAGTTCTGAATGATTCTTTACACAAGTTTCTGAATGCCGTTCGTATGTTGGCCAGCCTGGCATATGCCGCTGATGTTATCCGCTTGATATGTGCTGCAGGAGACAGGTCTGGCATGATATCAACCCCCAAGTCTTTTTCCTTCTCTGACTCCTGAAGAATTTCCTCTCCCAGATGATACCTTGTATCTGGCCTCCTGCTCCCTACACCTATCTTCATTACATTACATTTGGTTGGGTTAAACTCTAACAACCATTTGTTCGACCATTCCTTCAGCTTGTCTAGGTCTTCTTGAAGCCTCAAACAGTCCTCTTCTGTTTTAATCCTTCTCATAATTTTAGCATCGTCCGCAAACATTGAGAGAAATGAATAGATACCCTCCGGGAGATCATTTACATATATCAGAAACAAGATAGGACCGAGTACAGAGCCCCGTGGGACTCCACTGGTGACTTCACGCCAATCGGAGGTCTCACCCCTCACCGTAACTCTCTGCTTCCTATTGCTTAGATACTCCCTTATCCACTGGAGCACCTTACCAGCTACACCTGCCTGTCTCTCCAGCTTATGTACCAGCCTCTTATGCGGTACTGTGTCAAAGGCTTTCCGACAATCCAAGAAAATGCAGTCCGCCCAGCCCTCTCTTTCTTGCTTAATCTGTGTCACCTGATCGTAGAATTCTATCAAGCTTGTAAGGCAAGATTTACCCTCCCTGAATCCATGTTGGCGATTTGTCACGAAGTCCCTTCTCTCCAGATGTGTTACCAGGTTTTTTCTCACGATCTTCTCCATCACCTTGCATGGTATACAAGTCAAGGACACTGGCCTGTAGTTCAGTGCCTCTTGTCTGTCGCCCTTTTTGTATATTGGGATCACATTCGCCGTCTTCCATATTTCTGGTAGGTCTCCCGTCTCTAGTGACTTACTATACACTATGGAGAGTGGCAGGCAAAGTGCCTCTGCACACACTTTCAGTACCCATGGTGAGATCCCATCTGGACCAACAGCCTTTCTAACATCCAGATCCAGCAGGTGTCTCTTGACCTCCTCTCTCGTAATTTCGAACTCCTCCAAGGCCGCCTGGTTTACCTCCCTTTCTCCTAGCACAG